TCTGCGGACCCTGTCGGTCAACATTCTCAGCAGCCTAACTGGATGGCTATATAGCCGTGCGGGGTGCACACCCTGCCCTGGCTCTGTGCACCGCCCGGCGGCCTGGCTGCTTCTCTCTGCGGGCCTGGGGATCCCCTTCCGGGCTAGCGACGAAGGAGCAGCATGGAGGAGCGGCGAGGAACCAAGGCCAGCGGGCTGAGAACTGGGTCCCTGCTCCTGCTCACGTTGCTGCTCGGTAAGACTCCAGCCGCGGGAGCGAGTCGCCTCCCGCAAGGGTGCGGGGGAAGGGAGAAGCAGGGCTCTCTGCAGCACTGGAAGGGGAGTGGGGTGTAGTGGCCATAAGGAATCATGGGTAGGATGTGTGCATTGTATTCCCAGCTCCGTGTGGATTGTGGTTGCTGGTGGAGGGCATCTAAGCTAGGGTACTCCCTCGGCTAAGGGTGACACGGGCCCGCCGGATCGGTTCCCCCAGCTCTGGGTCAGGAATGACTCCCTGGCCGGTCAACGGAGCGGTTAACATGCAGGGCGGAAAAACCTGCCCTCTCCTGGGCCTCATTGTGGAAACCGTGGGCTTTAAACCCCTGCTGTGTTTGAAAGCTTCAGGGGGTCGCCGAGTTGGTCTGTTACAGAAAAAAACAACAAATGGTCTGCTAGCACTTTATAGACTCACCCAACTCGGAGATGGGGCCATGAGCTTTTGTGGGCACAGCCTACCTCTTCGGATGACTGGAGCTCTGAGTTTAGGATGTGTTTTCCTCCCGTGTTTGTGAGCCAAGATCTGGCTTTTCAAAATGACAAACTCCAGGCAGATGAAGAGAGAAGGAACATCTGTAGGAAAAGGGTTAAATTTGACACTGACCGATATTTTTGGTCGAGGAGAAAAGGCAACCGTCTGCCCAGAAGTATTAAAGTTAGGCTCACAAACTTTAGGGGAGCGACGGGGGAGTTGGTCCAAGAAATGGGCAGAGGAGGGGAAGCTGTAATGTGTCTGCAAAACTCCCTGCTGACTTTGGGGGCAAACGTTTTGGGGGCGAACGGCACAGAAATTGCAGGTGCAAAGGGGCCCGGTTGAAGAATGCAAAACCCACAGAGGTTTGGCGGGGAAGGATTTATCCCCACATGCTCCACTCCGGGTCCAGCCTTTGAAATGTGGCTGCCTTCAAAACTGCCCCCAGCGGGGCAAACCTCAAAATGGGGGGGTGCAAACATGCAGCCAGATTTTGGGTCCAGTCATGCAAAAAAAAAAAAAAGGTCTAGAATTTGTATGTTGCCACGGAAACGGGTTCAGTTGTGACCCCGGCCCGAGGCCGGTGTCAGTCTCATACATGCTGTGGGGGGGCTTGTTGCGTGTTCGCGAGAAATCACAGGGGGTTATTCTCGAGCTGCTTTTCCGTGGAGTTTCAAGTCTGCTCTTGTCTGTGCAACTTCTCCCTACGCCGTATCTTCGGCAGATTTCAGTCCGGATCGGGTTTCATGCAAATGCTCCGCCCCAGAGCTGGTCGCAGCGCCGGGAAAGCCATCTGTGTGCGGCTCTTCCCCAGCGGCCTTGTCCCGCATGCAGCTTTGTCTCCCCTTCTGCAGACACATAACCCCCATGCATATTTTAAGCCTCTCTCCTAAACAAACAAAGCAACTAGCACAAACTTTTTGGTGCAGACACACAGGGAGAGAAGGTCCCTGCTGAAAGCAGCAGGCAGCGCAAGCAAACTTGTTCTTCCCATTTCACAGATGGGAAAACTGAGTCCTAGAGTGAAGCACAAATTTACTCACAGGGGAATCTTTAGCCAAGCTGGGAAGAGAGCCCACCAACCTCCCTCTCCTTCTCCTCTCCCAGGGTTGGAGAGAGATCCGAGGAGTCCTGGCTTCCAGCCCGCTGCTCTATCCACTAAACCCCACTCCCCTAGCCAGGCAGAGAACCCAGGGTCCTGCTGCTCTCCTGTCCTGGCATGCTGCAGAATGAGTGAGGGGAGAAAGTTACCCTGCTGGTGTCTCCCTGGTGCCCTCTGCCAATGCCTGACCTGCCCGCACCCCCTGCCGTGAGCGCGGTGAAGCCAGGCACGGAAGGGAAGGTGGGCACCCTCTTCCCAAGCACTCGTCCCCCGGTTCCAGGTGCAACCAAGCAGCAGAACTCCATGCCTCAGGGGGAACTCTGCAGCTGGGATGCTTAATTGGCTAATGAGGGACAGCTGTAATTCTTAACGAGCTGCTGCCCAGGCCAGCCTGGCAAAAGGCGACATGGGCCGTGCGTGCCACGGGGCTGGAATGCTTGGATCTTGGGGTGCTGGCTGCTGGCTTGCACCAGGGGAAAGGGTGGGAAGGAGGAGGCCTGATACCAAGCTAGATGGGCCCATGGGTTGGCTTCGGCACAGTCAGCAGGATTAAGGGCATGGGGTGCGGCCAGCGCAGAGACGCCAGGCCCGGCCTGTAGCCAGCCGTGTCGCAACGCGAGAGGCGGTGCCGCATTCCACGGGGTTGGCTTCTATCCTTCACTTCCTCCCCTCTAATCCCGGGTAATTGCCACCCTGCAATTAAACACCAGGGAGGTGAAGCCGGCCGAGATGTGCCGGCTCGGATCCCACGCCAGCCCTGGAATGTGAGCCTGCCTCTAGGAGCAGGCAGGGTGCAGCCTAGCTCGGAGACCCTCCAGCACTGGGGTGGGGGACTGTGAACGGGGGGGCAGCTCCCGGGAGGGTGATTGATATACCAGGCTGCCTGAGTTTGCAGAGAGCCTGAAGCGATTGCCCCGAGACTCCCAAATCAGAGCAGGGCAGGAAGCCGCTTCCTGCCCCACCGATGTTTTTGAAAGTTTCCCTTTTCCTCCCAGCTGAAATCAGGCTCGGATGCCCAAGCCCCGATCGGTGCGGGAGGAGACGGCGGGTCCCACACTGGGTCAATCCAAAAGTTTCTTTCCAGTAGCCCTCTGGGGGGGGGGGTTCTTCCCCGAGCCTCATTCTGCAACATGGCGAAGCCAGCGTCTCTTCGCGCCAGACTCTCTCAGCCCCAACAGGTCCCAATCAAACTGGTCGGGCGGCGCATAACACGTTTTCCCCCCCAGTTGTTTCTGGGAGACGGCAAGGTGGCCAGCCCGCATCTGGTTTTGCAAAGCGCTCCCGGGGTGAGAAAGGGGCAGAGCTGGTGGGAAACCAACGAGCGTTGCCAGGAGAACGTGGGTTCCCACGGCACAGAGGGGGCAACTCACCCGAATCCTCCTGTTGGTTCTGTTTTAAACACCTCCAGGTCGTTGGGACTGGTCTCTCCCCTGCCTCCGGGGTGGGGCGGGAGAAGGCTGCGGCCTAGACCCCACGTCTCCCCCTCTGACCTTGTCTCCTTGCATTGCAGGGGCCCAGCAGAGCCAAGGAACCCAAGGTGAGTCCACGCCCCGGAGCCAGGGCTGAGCAACCCCCACACCAAGCCGGGCGCCTACCCTCTGTCCCTTCTCTCTGCAGTCTGCGGGCTCCCCTGCCTCCGGGGTGGGGCGGGAGAAGGCTGCGGCCTAGACCCCACGTCTCCCCCTCTGACCTTGTCTCCTTGCATTGCAGGGGCCCAGCAGAGCCAAGGAACCCAAGGTGAGTCCACGCCCCGGAGCCAGGGCTGAGCAACCCCCACACCAAGCCGGGCGCCTACCCTCTGTCCCTTCTCTCTGCAGTCTGCGGGCGGCGCCACGTGAGCCTCACCCGGATCGTGGAGGGGAACGACACCAAGGAGGAGGAGTTCCCCTGGCAGGCCAGTGTCCAGTGGAAAGGGGTCCACATGTGCGGGGCCTCCCTCATCAACCAGGAATGGCTGATCACGGCCGCTCATTGCTTCTACCAGTGAGTGCGGGGGCTCCCCGG